GGATCCGCTGTACAGCGCGATTCGCGTAATCCGAACTGTAAACGCCACCGTTTTGACACAATCGCGGCGATTTAGCTCGACAAATGGTTCGTTAATTAAAACTTAACGGGACGCGAACGATATGAAAAAGAAGGAAACATCGTGTTCTCGAGGCACACTTTATCACTCTTTGTTCAGAGTTATTAGAGCCTTTGTGCGGCTAGAGAAGCGACACTTGCCAGCGGCTGTCTTCCAAGCAATTGTCTCGGTAAGAAATAGTACCCTGGTGGTGTATAAGGGTGTAACTACATGTTTTTCCGTTTGTCGGAGGATTGTTCGTGAAATTGCGCTTACTCAAAAGGTAAAATGCCCTCGGGATCCGCATTTGTGATAACTCGACGACTGGATCATCCGAATCCGAAAATGCGCATCTCACGACTCGTCGAATACCGACTTGTCCGAATCAGGGTAGTTGGCTCATCGAAGATAAACGAACAAAAGTTCCTCAAAGTGTCGTAACCTTCGCGGTCATCGTTCTTAAACGCGACCGAATTAATTAGACGAGCCGTAATTAATAAATATTCGCTTACTCGCGAACAATCGATAAAAGTCCGCCGCTTAAAAAGGTATCTGAAAAATTCGGCAGAGTTTCCATTTTCTGGAGCGAAACTAATTGAAATCCGGTACGCAGCGACCGAGTAACTAACGATATTGAAACTTGGATGTTTGAACGCGGCGCGGGTATACCTATCCGTTAATGAAATCTATAGGGGAGGAAATCTAAGCGCGGTCAAGCTCCGATCGTTGTAAGTCGGAATGAAAATCGATCGTGAGTTATAAGGAGGAAAGACGTTGGACGTGTCGTAAAAGTATAGGAGCACGCCTATGTATGATCAAAGGATGACCAGAACAAGGACAAGCCGCGATTGATCGCGAGGAAGATGAACGCGCGAAAGCAAGATTAGCGAGAGCAAGAAGAGGTGAAGCCCACCGCGACGAGGTTGCAGAAGGTGTAGGAAGCTGGCTAGAGGAGGGGTAGGATTTGGGGTAGCATTGGTAGAACGGTGGCACAGATATGGGCCAGGTAACCAGGTCACCGCGACTAAGGGCATTGCTTTTACAACCGCCAACCACCACCGTCACCGTCACCCCATTCGTGCTGCTCTAACCTTCCCCACCCCTTCCTCCCTGCTCCTTTTCTTTCACTCTTTCTCTCTCCTTTTCTCTTTTCATCCCTTTTCCTTCTTTCGTCCCTTGCTTTCCTTCCTTCCTTCATCGGCACTTCGCTACTCGATACAGCACGCATCACGCACGAACAACGGTTCCATCTCTCTGAAACTGTCTCCCTTTACACTCGTGTTCTTATATTTTTTCATTCTTCTCGCATCTTTTCTCTCGGTCGTTTCGCTCTCTGGAGAATAAAATACTTTGTTTAATTCCACCGAGTGATACGGGAGATTCGAGAGGGTCTCGACGGCTAGCGAATACGCGAAGATTTTCATCGGAAACGTGGATATCCGAGTTAAACAGGAGATTACGTTAGAGATCGACTTTTACGCGTTACGTATCGTGCGCGTCAACCATTTATGGCTTCAAAACTGTCCGTTCCTCTCCGTTTAATCTCGAAATTCACCGTTCCCTTCTTCTTGTCCTCCACTCGCTGTTGGAGGTAATTAATCTGGCGTACTCGCCAAGTATGGCACTCGTGGCCTGAAAAGCTCGTTCATGAGCCAAGCACGACGTAAACGAGAAACACCGGAACCGAGGCTACGGTTTCCGGTTCCATGAGCACCATTTGAAAATTTCCCACCGAGAAATTGGCACGCACGCTAGGTCAACTAAAAGAATCCTTCTCTACCTCGAGTCATGGTCGTCGCGATCAACGTTCTATTCACAGTAAAATGCATCGTGTAGGATATTTTGAATCGATGACCGAGCGTGACCGTTAAATCGTTAAATTGCCCGCTACGCGCTTTGTTAGTTCGTCCAAGTGCAGCGCACTCGTTTTTCGAAGAAAAAAAAGAAGAAAAAGGGTGGTGGGGAGGGAGCAGAAAAAAGAAAAAAAGAAAAAAAGAAAGAAAAAGAATCGTTCGCGCAAAGAGCATTACTAATTTCAAAAGCCTTTCGTCTTTGATCTCGACGACCTAACCGAGACAAAGGATTACTCCGACGTATTCCGAAAGAGGGATAAATTAATGTCACGAATCCGTAGTGAACAATGACAGGCCGAATTACGGGTCGCTGTATGCGTTGTATATACACACCTGCATACATAGGCCCGTTAGAAAATACGGGAACACGGACATGTATACACGTGTACCTAGCTGCATGCGTCTATCGTCTATATCGAAGAGAGAAAAGTAGAACGAGAAGAAAGGAATTTGGAGTCGATATACATTAGTCCGTGTGAAAAGAAATTAAATACGTGGTCCATCACTGGGATGAAATGTACCTCGTCATCGCAAGTTCGTTGCGAACAAAACGAACCGTTTCGACCGACTATATCCGATTTCCGATTTCCGATTTCTTTTCACCCGTATCTTTTCTTCGCCTCCTTTCTTTCCCCCGTTCTTTCTTTTCCAGTCCGATTCAATCTGTGCTAACGTACAAACGGAAAACACGTTTCCAACCCTGTAACCGTGTACGTCGTCGGAAACATCCGCTACTTTCTACATTCGGGTTAAGAATCTTGCTCGATTTATAGACGAAATAGAGGGAAAAAGGGAAAGAAACAGGAAACAGGGAGAGAAGAGTAGGGGAGATTAGGCAGGAAACGTGGAAGTACAGAAAAGCTGGGGTGCATCGCGATATACGCGTATGTACATACGTAACCGCGAACACGTCGACAGGGTGGATATGAATTACTAAGGGAAAGAAATCGGAAAATGACGTATTGTTCGAAACCTCTGCTCCATTATAGCGATCTAAAAGTAAAAGAATGGTGGGGCGAGTGATCGAGGAGGACGAGGTGTAGGGGAGACTGATCGGGCGAGTGACGAAGCGCGAAGTGGGAAAGGCACAGCAGGCTGGAGACAGGGATGTTGCGGGTGACGCGAGAGGAAGATGAGTCGGGGATGGCAATGGGACAAAAAAGGAAGGAGGTAGCCTGAAGGGGAGGGTGCCGCATCTGCCTAGCTCGAACGTAGATACTCGGTGGAGGCTGGAGAGAATTGGGTCAACCAACTTGGAGTGTACTTCAGGTGTAGCTACCTATCTACCTATCTACCGACCCATCATCCTAGTATTCTCCGCTACTCCTTTCGCGTTCTTCCCGAAGAATCTATCCCCTTTCTTTCCTCGTTAACTGTGCGACGAACCACGCCATCGTCCTCGGGATCCGTCGAATCGAAACTTTTACGGCTCGGTTCGTGCCCTATCTTTGAGCTTTGTTCGTCCCCCTTCGACACCAATCTCGTTGCTTCGCGCGGCCAACTTTTCACACGATCCGATGCTATGTCCTAATTACAATCTGCAATTTCAATGTCACCCAATCGGGTTAGCAGACGAATAGGACCGCGATATACGCAATCGTTGATAACGCGGTCACTTCGACGATCCTCGAGTTTTCCACAGAGCAAGATGCGTTCGTTTCCGCTGGCTATTGTTCCAACACGCGATCCACGTGTCCCGTCATTCAACCGCTAGTTCCAGTGTTTCGAGGATCGTGATAGTATTCGTAACTGCAACTGGATAACAAGCCTAATCATTTTTCGATTTCTCCGATCCGCGTAACTCGGCTTTTCTCCAAGTTACCGACGCGTCGGAAACCGACAGGCGGACGCTGGTTCCTGATATCGTTTTCAAAGTAATCGCAACTCTCGAATAAAGTTGGCAGCGATACAAACCACTGCATCGCGACTTCCGAGAGCTACTCCTTTATCTCATCCAACTCGATTCGTACGAAAAATATGATTTTCTTAAATCGCATACGAAATCGCCGGTATATCGAATAATCTGGATCGATATCGGGCATTTTTCAAAGGATCGGCTGAAATATACTACCGCGGATAGGAAGGAAAACTCGTGTGGTTATTTTGGAATCGTGACACCCGATATACAGATATCGGTATAACTGATTCGATTCGATTCTGACGGACAACAAAATGATACCGTCGATAATTCCCTATAATGATTTAACGCGTTCGTTTCCGGCTCGGAATGTTCGGAAAGGCAAGTCTATCGTGACATAGATTAATCGTAAGATCCGCTCGATCAGCCGCACTAGCTCCCTGCGGGCTTTCAGACCCATGAACTGCTTACGGGTGGAAATAGGCCATTTCTAAATCCCCAGTAGCTATGCAAGCTGGCACGCAAGTCGATTAACCGAAACTTAGATGGTCAAATCTATGACGGCATTGTTCCTTGGACGATGCAGAAGCTACATCGTTGCTTCGATCGGAGTATGATGTCTGAAACGGGTATTCGACGCAGGGACAAACGAATCATCGAATGTTTGGAGGTTAGACGAAAGGTAACGATTATATCGAGGTTACTTCGTTTTATCCGGATACCCGGCTCGTCGATACTCGCGTGCCAACTAACTTGGAAAAGCTCGAGCCAAGGTTACATCGAGCACGAGGTAAAACGCGTGGTCGTTTCGTTTGCCCGTGTCATGGGATATCAGGTCTGAGTTCCGTTTCTTTCGGTTCTGTACACGAAATACTTAATAAAGCGCTGAAGAGACGAGAGTGAAAATAATGAATACGGATAGAGAGCAGTCGGGGATAAGTTACCGTGCCGAATAAAAGGGTTTTCCTGCAAGCAGAGTGTAATTATAACACGCTCTTAGAGGATGCGCAGAAAGGGTAATATTTAAAGTATATGTAGGTCAGCCAGTGACCTGTCTTATTGCCTGCTCTGACCTGATCATCTCGAATAGAAGTCCGAAAACGGACTAAAAAGCCGAGAAGAGCGTAGCCCGATATAATACGTAGCGGTTTCACGATGGAAACGTTTCAAATTCATCGTACCGCGCGTTCAACGCGCAAGTCTCGGACTCAGGATATACTTTGTGATTACAGGAAGCATATAGAAAATGGGTGTGCAGCTCCCTGGTGCCTTACTTTGCTCATGGGGGACCGCAGGATTTGGATAGCTCTAACAGCTGGGCCGGGAGCAGACTTCGATCCTGTCGGTCCTTTTGCCAATCCGTGGAGCAACGTTGCCCTTACTTACTTCCGGGCGATCGTGCCCCCGCGTATCCCACGCAATACGCCGGCGAACCCACTTTTCTTTGCAGAGGTAACTCACCATTCATACGTAATTCGTACCATGCGCTCTTACTTGTCTCGTTATCTTCTTTTACGTACGCGATATCTGTTAGACGAAGAAGGGTAATAACATTTTTGGCACCCTCTCGATTCATCGTCGAAAGGTTCGTCTTGCAAAGAGACTGTGTTCGGGCTTGTTGGATTTTCCGATAAAGATAAATAGATAGAGGACGGGGTGAGTAATGACGCAGGAAGGATGCAGAATAGGGTGGAATAAAGAGAATTGGGGGAAATGGGAGATAGTTTAAATGTACGCAGGAGAGAAGGTGGTTGGAAATCGAAATGATTTCAGATCCAAATATCCCCGAGACCGGAGAGCAAGCTGCAAGGGCATTACATAGCAGCGAAGAAGACGAGTGTTGCTTTCATGCGTGTTCCGAGGAGTTACCGGGATTGGGTATCTGCGCGAATTGCACCGATCGGGAACCACGAAGACGCGGGAAGAACCACGATCCTCCGACGGCACCCCGTTGCGAGATTAATCCCATTCAACCAGCTTCCACAGGTACGTTCTTCTGTTTTCCTTTGGCACCAAGGGGGAATTCCCTGTTTGGTAAGAGCAAACGATCTGAGACGTTTTGCCAAAAATTTCGCGAATCTGATTAAGATTTTGCGTTGCTTGTTTCGATCAGGTGGAGGATATCAAGAATCGGGATCCACAGGCAGCAGTTTGGAAGAAGGAGAGAGATACGACTTGTCCACGGATTCTGCAGCTGCCTCGATGACGAATATGGCGCGACAGCAAGGAACATTGGTGTGCGGAACTGGCGGTGGTGTCGGCTCGATCGCGAGCGTTTCCTCTTCCGCTCGATTGGTGGCTACCATTTTGACCAGCATTTTCGGCAACGTTCGAACGATTCCCGTCCTCTGGATCTCAAAGATCTTTCTTTGGTCGATCGTGCCGCTCGGTGATAGTGACGGTGTTGGTAGTGGTAATGAAAATGAACCTAGTGTCGGTGTATCCAAGGGCAAGAAAACGAGTCAGCTGGTAGAGTTTGTCGCTTGGCTGCATCGTTGCTTTGGCAATGTCAGCGTACGTAACGGTGTAAACTGGTTGCTCGAAAAGTCGATGGTGGTCGAATGTCGCTGCCAAAGTTGGTGGTATTGCTGTTGGTATTGGTGGTGGTGGAGATGGCGAAAGATATCGAGCGGTTGTATTAGATGGAAATTTCGATATCGACGTTACGAAGAAAGTCATTTCGGTCAATTCCTTGGTACGCGTTGTCCTATAACATTCGGTGCTACTTTGACTCCTGTCACCTCTGCCGCTACCACCGTCGCCATTGCCATCGTTATCGCTATTACCATCGCCATTGCCACCGCCATCGCTATCGCCATCGCCATCGCCATCGCCATCGCCATTGTCAACGCTAACACCATCGCTACCGCCACCGTCACTGCCGGTGCTATCACCATCGCCACCGTCATTGTCATCATTCTCGTGAAAGACGAATACGTTTTCCATTCGCACAAAACGTATCGCGATTCATTCCTCGTTGATTTGTTCACGGTAAAGTGCTCATGGAGACAATGGAACTGGTGGTGGTGGTGGTTGTACCGATGGTGGAGATCATGGGAAACGAATCAAGGAGGATTCGTCGGAGTCGGTATGTCGGTCGGAAAAAAGAATCGCCCTCGTGCGCTTAAACACGATCGATGCAGAATAGCTGATCGAAGAAGAAGAAGAAGAAAAGGAAGAAGAAGAAGAAGAAAAAAGGAAAGAAGGAACAGAAGAGCTTCGGAAGTTTCTGAAGAGGACGTTCGATCTTCTCCGTCTAGACGTCGGTATTTCAAACTATCCTCGAGGAAAGACCCACCATAGAGCATTTCGGGGAAAGCGCAAAAGCGTGAAACACAGGTTTTTTTCTATCGGTAATCAGAGCTCTATCGGAAAGGACTTTGGCCGTACCTTTCTCGATTTTCAATCCTCGAAATCAACGGTCTTAACGCGAGACAAATCGCAAAAAGACTGGAGTTCAAGGAAGATAAGGAAGAGCACGTAAAAGGCTTAGGAAGGTGAAGAAGAGTAGGAGGGTGATCGAAAATAAGGAGAAGAAAACGAGAAACGTTTGACGTATGTACGTACGGAGGAGAAAGACATACGAACGGTATGTGATGACGAATGAGAAAGTAGTGGAAGTCGATGTGCAACGCGACGTAAATTTTTCAAAATGAACATACAGAGGAATTGATAGAAATGAAGAATCAAGATTTGAACATCGAAGAAGAATGAAACATGTCGATGTTTTAAGTTTGAACGTGAAGACAAAAAGGACGTGAAACAAAACGAAGAAATCGTAATGTCTGTCGCTAATAATAATGCTAACGATAATACAATAATAATTAATTGATTAAAAATACTAACAATGACGACGACGACGACAATGACGACGATAACGACGACGATGATGACGATGAATACACGAAGACGTTGACAATAACAATAACGATAACGATAACGATGACAATGACAACGGTAACGATGATGTTAACGATAACGATAACGATGACGACGACGATGACGATGACGACGACGACGACGATGACGATGACGATGACGATGACGATGACGATGACGATGACGATGACATGACGATGACGATGACGACGACGACGACGACGATGACGATGACGATGACGATGACGATGACGATGACGATGACGATGAAGATAACGACAACGGGGACGAGGACAATGACAGTGATGAACACAATGATATGCAAATGATGACGATAATGATAATGATGGTGACGAAGAACAATGAATAAATAATAGTTAACGAATAATAACGATGATGCATAATAAAATAAATGATAACGATTAAATAATGAGGTAATGATAAAAAAACAATGAAATAACGTTAACGTTAACGATAGAATGATTACGATTACAGTTATTGTTACACGTTCGATGCGTCGCATGCATATGAACAAACACGAACATATACACACAACACATGCAACACGTACACAGAAGTAATAAATAATTTCGAGAAAAAAAGAAAAATAAGAAGGCGAATGAGCGAATGGAGGGGACGAGAATACGCGGGGTAGTATTGCGAGGCGAGAATATGCGATAACAGGAGCGGATGGGACAGGTGAATATACGACGAAACGAAAAAATGCTACCGAATGCGAGAGAAAGTACGAGAGCAGCTGATTTAGAAACGGTACACACAAGATGCACTCACACATTTTCGTATAAGCCATTAACGATTAACGAGACATTAAAAAACAAAAAAAGACGTAGATAGATAGTACTTCGGTCGTGATAGAAAAACGGAATCGTGAAGCGAGATTCAAGCAACTCGAGTACCGAATTGATACGGGAAAGGAATTATACAACGGTAGAAATAACAGCGGAATAAATAAACACGACGTTATCGAGGTATAAATATGTGTTCGTTTAGACATTACAATAACTAAGTATTGCATTAACATAGTCGTGTAACGATATAAATTAAAACAAAGAAAACTGAGTGAGGGCGCGAGTGTCTATACGTGTGTTTGAGGAAAAGAGACACAGCGATAAACCGAAGAGTGGAAGGAAAGGAGAGAGAGAGAGAGAGAGAGAGAGAGAGAGAGAGAGAGAGAGAGAGAGAGAGTGAGAGTATATGCGTGTTTGCATATGTATGTATAAATGGAGAGAGAAGGGAGAGAGATAACGATAGAGTGAATGAAAAGTTGAAAATGAGGAAAAATGGAAGAAATGCTAGAGAGCATACGAGGAAACGTTGATTAGGAAAAGAACAAAAAAATCGTAGAAAACTGATGGATTTTTTATAGGGAAATATTCTAAAGAGATATTACGAAAATAGCGGTATAAACGAAATTTTGTTTTTCATATTCTTTTCCGCACAGTGTACGTGGCTTCGATTTCGTGGGAACGTCAGATGTCGCGAAATGTTTGCATAATGTAATTACTACGAAATAACACGCGTATAGGAAATAAATCGACGAAATCAAATATGTACGACCGTTCAAAAGGGAATGGATAATATCCGAGAAATAGTTACTTTTTTCATTACCTTTAGACTTTTGAACGGTAGATTGAAATATGAAGGGAAAAAGAGAGAAGTAGAAACGTTCTTCTCATTGTTACTATACTCTCATCTAATCGCGATACTCGTTTACACGTATCGTGCGAACACAGTGGTAGGATTTCGAGGAGAGCACTTTCGTTTCGGTGCAAGTACTTTGACGGTCCGTAAAATGTACTCGAAACGATCGTTCCTTGTTTCACGTTCGTATGAAAATCAAGAAGCAAACGGCGAAAAATAAGAATGCGTATTAGAATGAAAAGCGCGGGTTCGTAGATCGGCGGCGAAGCGAAGCCACGGTGGCCACTATGCGGAGTAAGAGGTAAAAAGTACAGAATACGGTAAAGAATCGTCGTCGTCGTTGTGTCGTAATTGCAAAGAAGTCGTGCACAAGGGGGGCATGTGTTAGACGCGTAATAGAAGTACACGCATATACGTACAGCGTACACGGAAATAAGAAATGTACACGCGGATATAGAAGGACAGACACTGTGCCCCGCGTGTGCATTCATTACGTTGTTAAACATTGTCCAATACATAATTGTTACTAACTTATATTTATAAGATGAACGAGAGAAATAGCCAAACAGAGATAGAGAGCCTGTGTGTGACTGCGCAACAAAGAGAGGCAAAGTGCGAAAGACAGAGCGAATGAGAGAAGAGACGAAGAAACGAATGAGAGCGCAAGAGGGAGAAAACGACTACGAATTGGAGTGAAGCAAAATATGGTCAACTTATATGGAAAAAAGGCATATAAATATTATAAATACATATATAAATAGATATTACAAAAAAAAAAATTGCCAGTAGGAAGGGAGGAGAAGATAAAAGGATGTAGATGAAAGGAATTTAAGAGGAGCGATTGAGTGATTATATGTAAATATATATATTTACATGTATATGTATATATGTAAAGTTACGTGTATACATATGTATGTACGTGTGCGTGCGCGCGTTTGTGTGGGTGTGCAAACGCACATGTGACGCCCATGTATTCGCACACATATAAACATACATATACACCTGCTCGTGTATGTGTGCGATTTAGTAACAGAGAAAAAGACGTAATAGTGGTGATGTGTGCGGTGTATGCGTGCGTCGGGGATCGAAAATAACGAACGAGAGTCTAGCTATCCCAACCTGCTTTCCGTGCAATTTTTGCGGTTGAACGAAACAGATGATGGCTGCTGCGTACGTCGAAAGCAACGTGGGAGAGAGTGTGCGAGGAAGAGAGGGAAAGGAGTGAACGAGAGAGAACGCATACGTATAATGACGTCGTTGATCGAGAAGAAAAAAAGAATGATAATTAGGAAACGAATGATAGCAGAGTACGTGAGACGAGAAAAATCGTATGACCTGTAACAATGGAACATCGACGAAACGGCAGTCGGTAAAGAAGAAATCTGCTAGATGCAGCGTAGTTTTTAAGACAATTAATTTTCGGTGATAGTAGGACAGTAAAACGCACAATATGCAAACGCAATTACACGACTTACATTTTTTCGCTTAAACAGCAAACTAATCCGTTAAACGGTGACCGGAGCAATAAATCGGAACGTTTCGAAACGACGATACAATCGGACAGCGACTCGATGTCCTGTCTGGGGGGAAAAAGCAGGAGACGAAATAAAAGGAGAGTGAAAAGAAAAAAGAAACTCATGTGTGTTGGATGGTTAGGAGACATACATGTATATACGTGTACGCGCACCCGTCTCTCCGTACGTACGAATGACGAGTCGAGAAGAAAAATCGGAATAACCGAAAGGAACGCAAACCGATAGCCAGCGAAAAAGTGACGTATTCTTAGTTCTCAAGTGACCATCTAACCTATTCGTATTATCTTTCGAGGAGAGACATACATACGTACATAGGATCTAAAAATAGGCTACGACTCAAGCGAACCACGAAACATAGAGTCGTAAACACGTGTGATTCGTTTGATCACAGTTACGCGCGAATTATGCGCAATATGTTCTATCGATTTGTAAATACGCACACCTACGCATACGCCTAAGCGTAAGCAACGCGGTAAATGCTTTTTAAACGGGGACACGCGTATTACGTTGACACGTTAAATCGTTGGTTGAGCAGTTTCTATTTCGTGCACGATCTTATCTCGAAAACTAGCAGTCGTCTCGGGAGTTATTTGAAACAATGATTTTCGCGTTGAATCGAGACTTCATCGACCGAAGATTTCGTAAATTCCTACTCTAGCGAGATTCACTTCTTTAGTTATTACATAGGTCTATTCTCGTCGCTCGAAGTGTTCTCATTTTTCTTGTCGATCAGGCCTCTTGACTTCCGGTCGATTTGTTCTCTCTATCGACATGTTCTACATCTTCGAGAAACGATAAATCAATCGATATCGATATCAAGAGACTTTTCCAAGATTTATCGTTCCCGTGGATCGCGTTTCGTTCGTTCGCTCAGAAAATGATAAGTAACGTTCTTCGACCTTCAACGAAGGAAATCATACTTCTTTTCTTTTCTTCTCTTTCTCCTTGTATTTTTCCTTATTTTCTTCTTTTCTTACAGATGGCAAAAGGTAGAGGTAACGACAAAACTGAGAAATCCTTCCTGAAGAACGTATACGCGTGTTCGCAAACTGACCAAAGTACGACCATGTTATGACCAAAACAAGCTGCGTTCTCTCGATGTACTCGTTTCGGACAATAGTCTTTAGAGTCGCGGTCGCATTTACGTTCCAATCGATTCGAAACTCTACTCTCGAATTCGAGGAGCTCTTCGTGATGCTTTCTCTTTTGTTCACCTCCTCCCTCTTTTTTTCGCTATTCGAATTCGTAAAGAAGCAATCGATAATCCACGCTTCGTGCGCCTCTGTCTCTCCCGTTCAGAATTCTCAATCGCGAATCGATAACGTTTGTCACGCCCATTCGCAATATCGAGATGCTAATGCGGCTAAAGCCTAACGTTTTCGTAGAAAAAGAACTGCCCATTTACCTGTTTAATGAATCATCGAAAGACACGTAATTCGCCGAAAACGTTTCGATAAAGCTGTACTCCAGGTCCTAACCTAAACGAATCCATCGAATTTCTTCTCCTCTTTGAAGGGAAAATTAATTTCTCGCTACGTCTCGAAACGTCACGAATACTTGTCTTGGATATTATTTTCACGTACAAAGGAAAATAATAAGGTAGGAATGGCTTGGAGCACGATAATACCGTTACCAAATTAAAAGGCCTGTACTTGCAGCTAGGCCGTTCCTTTGAACATCTATTTTTTACGATTGTTGCTGAAAATTAATTTTCCCCTCTTCCCTTCCGTTTTATTCTCTTTC